CCTTGCATGGCTGCGCTGGTCCCGTTTCCAGCCCGGCCCCGCGGCGAATTGCGTTAGTGTGGCTGAAGAGGTGGCGAACGGCAGAGCAGGGGCAAGGAAGAGGCGCCGGGGGCTGGAGCTGCTCCAGCTGCTTTGGCTGCACGGGAAGAGATGAGTGGCACAGCACCCTGCTTGTGACAAACCTGCTACGACCCTCTGATTCTCACTGCTTCTTTCTTTGTGTCTTCCACACTCAGAACGGCTGATTACTCTTCCTTCTGGCTCCGTGACCTGAGATTACCTCGGAGATGATGGCTGGCTGTGTCTGAAAGATGTAGATTACCCCTAAGCTAAATAATTACGGACATTTTGTGGTGTGGACTTTGGGCCCGGGAGCCCAGGACGGGCGCTCCTCTCCTTTCCCGTGGGAGGTGGTGGATCCTCAGCACTTCTCAAAGCCTGGCTCCCAGTCTCTCTCCCATGGCTGCTGACGGTGTGAGCAGGCGTGGACCGATCCTGCACCCCGGCCCTTCCCGGCAGCGCTGGCTCCGGTGCTGGGAATGAGCTGCTGGCGGGTGCGTGGCTGGGAGGGACTGGCCGGCCCCGTGCTGGCCGTTCCTCTGCTCAGGAAGGGCAGGGCTGTTTCTCTCACTATTTACAGCGTGCTTGACACCTGCGGCGTGGGGAAGGGTGAGCGTGGGTGACCCCTCTCCTGCCCCGTGCCCTGCCTCCTCTTCCTCGCCCCGAGCACCCTGGTGTGCACCCCTGTCCCTTGGCAACCCCTGGCCCCCAGCACCACGCTGCCTTCAGCAGCACCCTTGCTCTTTGCAGCGTTTGGGTGGTGGCCATGTACACCCTTGAGCTGGCGCAGCCACGGGGCCGCTGGCGTCGGGGTGGCCGTGACAAGCACTTGGGTTGGGGGCCAGTGGGGTGAAACTCTCTCTCTCTGATCCAGCATTCACGGGCTGCTTCGCTCAGCAGTAGTCAGAGTGCGGTCGGCTGTTTGATGGGGAAGGAGGGGAGGAATTTGCACCTTCTCGCTTTGATTTTGGCCCGAAGTCCTTCCGTTTTGGGCTGGGAACCTGCTGCCCCGTCTGCCCCAGCTCTGCTCCAGAGGGTCCTGCTCACCTGCTGCTGTGGGGCAGACTGGGCAGGGCAAGGGTGCAGGAGACCTGGAGCTTCATCAGAGCCTGCTTTTCTGCCACAGTGCCAGCATGAGACGCTGGGCAGGGCTAAGCACGTCACACCAGCACCCGAAGGGCCAACCTGAGCCCGGCCACACACCCTCCCAGCACCTTGCTCGTGCTGTCAGGGTGCTCAAATGGAGGAGAAAACCTTGAGGGTTATTTTGCCCCAAGAAGGGTTAAAGCATCAGCTGTCAGTAGTTATGAGCCAGGTTACAAAAGTAAAGCAAATAAAGGTACTGTTCCATGCTGGTGAGCACAGCCCTGCTCTCACCCTGGGCTGGAAAAACTTGTTACTGGGGACAGCCAAAGGCTGCTTCAGGAACGCCGTGAATTCGGGAGGCTGCGGGGCTGGAGACGCTGTCTGCCTGTGAGTCAGGGTCCAGTTCAGCTCCGTCCACTTCAATATCTGGAGGAAACTGTCCCTGCCAGAGGTCCCCGTGCCGTCAGAGCGAATGGGGACCCTTGAATCCACGTTGGTGACCTCGTGCATGGTGACGTGTGGATCATGCCCTCAGCACCCGGCAGGCGAAGAAAAGGACAACTGGTTAATTCAGCCAGGACAGGAATTGAAGAGATAGCAGTAGGTGTGAGGCA